CAATCCATGATTCTGTATGTGTTTGTTTTGTTTTTGTGTTTTCTTCGAGAGAGGGACACAACCAGCTGTTGCCACGCAGGTTTCTGGGAAAGTTCAAAACACAGCCCCCTTCATCGGTACTTGGTTTTGACACCGTTTTGATAAATTGTGTTTTGCTACAAATGTGGATCTTATCTGCACCTTGTGGTTTCATGACTTTAGTGGGTAGCAGAAGTTTCGTACTGGAAAGTATTGGGTCAAGTAAAAGTAAAGGGGGATGTCTACTTTTGGGATTTTGGTCTGAACAAATGTATTGCTTAATAGGGATGGATTTGAAGATAGGCTGAACAGGTTAGCGATTGTAAAAAAGACAAAGCACATTTTGCCCAGGTTCCCGTGCTTTGCGCAAAGGTGTTTGTCTTGCTATACTGTTTGTCACGTGGCATCCTTTTGAGCTTTCACGGAAAAATATCCCTTGCTGCTCTTGTCGTTGCTTCCAAGCGGATCTGTACGTCGACTGCCAGCAAGCCGGCATTGGTTCTGCCCCACTCGGGTGTGCTTCTCAATGTTTGGCCCGGAAGGCTTAATCAGGGAGTCCAGTTTTGTTCGGAAGAACCAAACATGCAGTGCACAATCTGACAGGGGTCTGCTTTGGCAGGCACTGACGCCAGTTACGCGAAGTTTACCAAAGGTTAGCCCACTTGTTAACTCATGGGTAAGCCTTGTCGCCACGCTCGTAAGCGGGGCTCATTTAGTGCGAGGTGTGTGGCGGTGTTTTGAGCTGTTATTTGACAAGGATAGCTCTTCAAAGTTGTCGATTTCTCGGAAGCCCTACGATTTGTTCATGCGAGCCAAGCACTCACAGACATGAGCGTCCATCCGAATGTCCTTGCAAGAGCGGTCCAAGTGTGGATGCACAAAATCCTGCACCACTTGTAGGCGCTTTATCCCAGTATTAGGGTTTCATGGGGATTCATCCATCTCAACTGGTGCGAAGCGGATTTTGTCCATTCACAGCTTTTGGCCTGCTAAGCCGAAACCTGGCTTTGCCATGCTTTCCAGGTTTGCCCCACGCCTCCGGCCACGACTTTGGAGCGGAAGCACTACTACACCATCTACAGGTGCCGTGACTTCCAACTTTGATTTGGTACCACAGGCACAGCTCTTTAACTCTGTGTACATATATATATATATATACAAATACATATATATATATATATATATATGTGTGCATCTTTTTTTTTTTCCCCCGACAGAGACTTGTTTCGCAAAATATTTAGTGAAAGCTCTTTGCAGACCTGCTTGTACGCTTACATATTTTTGCAAATCCCACTCCCTTGTAGACAGGGAGACGCAGCACCTTTACTTGCGTCCTTTGGTTGCTTGCCCGTGCTGGGAATGATGCAAAGCAAAACGTCGGCTGGGCTATTTTAGAGCAAGTTTCGAGAAAGATCCGCGAAAGACGCAAGGTTCTGCACATTGGGCAGTGGACGGAGCAGCTACGGCAAGCGCGGATGATCACTTTCATTTTACGTTGCTGCAAGCCTGCCAGCGCAAATGAACGGAGTGGTTCCTGGCCTTGCAGGGCAGGCTGCGGCAGCAACAATGGCTCCAGAGCGCACGCTGCAAAGAATAGGGATGAAGTTGCAAAAGCCTCCGCGAAAGAAGACTTCCTCGCGAGGAATGGCTTTCCGGACGCAGGATTTTTTCCGAAAGCTAGCCGTGCGAGCGGGAGTTCTCTAAGCTTTAGGGATAGCTGCGACACCTACCAGGGTTTGGCTCACATTTACAGTGTTTTTACATGTGAACGCGTGCCCCGCGGAATCCAAAGCAAGCACCAATCATGTCGGTAAACCATTGAGTCGGAGAGTGCTGCTGGGGGCTGCTTTCAAGATCCGCAGCCTTCCACTTACATGAAACTTGAGGGATGCCCCCTGCGGCTCCTGCCCAAAACCACGGGAGGTCTGACACGGTCCCACCCTCAAACACACACGCGTAAATGCATGTACACGTATTTGATATACGCACATTTAAAGATGGTGGCATACGCACGCCTCGCACACTTACGCGCAGACGCACGTGCACACACACAAACACACAACACACACACACATGCACACACATGCACACACATGCACACACATACACATGCGCGCACACACACACAGACAGACACACGCACACACACACACCCACCCACCCACCCACGCACGCAAGCACGCACGCACGCACGCACGCACACAAGCACACAAACACACAAACACACAGCGCACACAAACACATTAGCACAGAAACACAAAAACACACAAACACGCAAACATACAAACACACACACACAAACACACAAGCACACAAGCACACAAGCACACAAACACACAAAGACACACACACAAACACACAAACTACGCAAACAAACACAAACACACAAACTCGCAAACACACAAAGACACACACAAACAGACACACACAAACAAACACACACACGCACACACACACACAGACACACACACACACACAAACACACACAAACACTTACAAACACACAAGCGCAGACACACACACAAACACACACAATCACACACACACACAAAAAAACACAAACAGACAAACACACAAGCACACAAGCACACAAACACACAAAGACACACACAAACACACAAACTACGCAAACAAACACAAACACACAAACTCGCAAACACACGACACACACACACACAAACCCACACACACAAAACACACACACACACTCACAAACACACAAACACAGACACACACAGACACAAACACACACACACAAACCCACACACACAAAACACACAAAACACACAAAACACACAGGCGCACACAGACACACACACACACACACACACACACACACACACACACACACACACACACACACACACACACACACACACACAGACACACGCGCACGGATACACGCTTTCACGCGCGCGCACGCGCGCGCATTGAGTGTCTTTGGTTGTTAATGTAAGGCTTTGTGTGTGTGCGCGTTTCTGTCAATCTTTATCTGTATGTGCACACTTGTCTTCTGTGCGTTTGTGTTTGTGTGTCTCTGTGTGTTTGGGTATGTGCGTCTTTGGGTATCTCTTTGCCTCTGTGTGCTCATGTATGTGTATCTCTGTGTCAGTGTGTATTTGATTACCACTTCAATTTGAATGCTTGCTCTGTCCGGTGGTCACAGAATCTGTTGGAGTTCCTACACTGAGTGCCGAACTGAAGACCTGATTGAGTGCAGATTCGTATCCTTTGTCGGCCAGTTTTGCGAGGATGGCGAAAGGTCCGCAGATCATGGATCCAAAGGCCAAGGCCCTGGTGTACGATGCTTACGTGAAGGAGCCAGACGTGTGCCGGGAAAGCCAACTTGAAGCTCAGCTCTGGCTAACCTAAGGTCGTCTTGATACTCGCCGGTTGCAAAGTACCCACTATATAACACATGGAATCGGAGCATTTGGGAAATCATCGATGCGTCGTTTGAGGCACCTTTGTTTAGCTTCGTGTGGAGAGGTGACAACACTGCTGACAATGGGGATGCTTTGGGAGGTACAACTAGGTCCCAACTGAGGGGGCCTAATTTTGACACCACCCGATGGGACAACTTGATCATTTGGACAAGCTGGCGAATTGTCAGGACGCGGCCGCGAAATACGCAGCTGAGTGGGGCGACGATTTTCGTCAGTGGTAGGACCCAGATGATTGGACGGCTTCCACAGATTGCTGAGAAAAGAGCAGATGGGGCAGCGCATGGATGTCACGTTTTGAGCTTACAACTGCACAACAGCATTGGGATTTCAACTGATGTTGACCCCATATTAATAAACCCGGTTTATTAATAAACAGGGGTTGATTAATATAGGGTCAACATCAAAAGCCAGTTCAATGTCTAAATCAGAAAGTGAGGCGCCTGGGGCAGAGCCACTGAGCCATTCTGAGGGCGCCAGCGGTGTTTTTCCCAACTTCCTATTCAGAATTCAGACACCACTATTTTGGGTTGTACGTCCCCCATTGTGTTCAGGTATCTTCTTTGTTCTTGAATCGAACATATCCTCACCACTTTTGTTTGTTGAAAAGGTTGATGGATGAGCGGCAGGGGATCGACCCTGAACAGAGTTCTTTAAGCTTTGGGCCATGGTCTGCTTCAAACAACATGTGCCCGCGCCAATTGCCAAGGTTTTCACCTGTTTCTGTCTTGTGTCGGTTGGGGGCAAATTCTTGTCACAATTCATGTGTAATTTGTGTATGCTGCACAGCTGCAGGAGCCCTGAGCCCTGGCAATTGCACATTTTTATAGTTTCTATGTATGGCTTTGTCACCTTTCCATTTCTGAGCATCGTGTCCTTCCCTCTAAAGCAGACTTGCGCATACTTGATTAAGACAATATGAGTCTATGCCTCATTTAGAGGTATGTTTCCATTTGCTTCAGAATATGTTTGTTCCCCCTCTTGGTTTTACAGGGAATCTATGACTACTGGACATGTGTGTTTTTTGGTCCAGGGAAACTGAAGCAAATGGAGGGTGTGCAACGTGTCCTGGTGATACAAACGGTGTTCGGCTCTCTCGCTTAAGGACTTCCGATGTTGGAGTTTCTCTGCATGAGTCGTGGAGCTTCCGTTACAAGCAAACGCCAGTGGTATTAAACGTTTCGGGACCGGTTGAAGAGGAACATGAGCAAATCTGAGCTGAGGCTTCTTTGCTGGGCCGCTTCTCTGCAGAAATTGTTGGAAGAGAGTCACATGAATACCATTGAATCCTGTTATGGAGGTGTTTGTTTGCTTGTTTGTTGGATGGTTGGTTGGCTGGCTGGCTGGCTGGCTGGCTGGTTGGCAGACTGTCGGGCGGGTGTTCGTGTCTTTCCTTTAGGCGTTGAGCATGGCCAATGTTCAGGCCAGGCCGATTGTTTCTCTCATGCCGCTCGTTTTTGTTTTTGGTACTCTTCACTTGTCTCGTCCGTGTTGCTTCTCTGCAAGTGAATCCAATGCGCCAAAGCGGCCGGACTGGAGGCCGAGATCCCAAGAAGCTTCGCATCTACGACCCTTTCTACTGCGCTGGCAGCGTGGTCAAACACCTCGCTGAGCTCGGCTTCTCCAGGGTCTACAACAAGTGCGAGGAGAGAGCGACACATGGCGACTCCTCATATGGATGGGTTGAATGCGTGAATGTAAACCCACCATTGTTCAAATCTACGGATGGAACTCCGACCGTTGATGCCCCTAATTTGGTTGGTTGTCTGGTTGTTTGGTTGCCCGTTTGGCTTGTCACGTGCCTGCTTGCTCTGTTTGCTGCGATTGGCACAATGCTCGTATTATAATTTCATATTAAGTTTACAATGAAAGGTGACAACTATGATGTCTTCACCGTGCGCAAGTATCTTGTGGCTGGCCAGTCTGAATCAAGGTGCTGCAGTTTCCTTTCTGCTAGCCTATTGCATTTGTCCAAGTCTTTGCGGGCAGGGGCCGTGTTGCTGCAGGGGGACGCCGCAACGGGGTTTGGATGATGTGGGAATTCTGAAATGGGTTCGCTTGCAGTTTATTTCCCTTAAGACATCATTAGCAAGGCGATTTTGGAACCCAACTTCTTCCCATGCTTGCCTTCGTGAATGTGCTCGTGACAAGTAGCAGACTTGATTCGCTTCATCCCTTAGGTCCTTTGGCTTTTCATGAAAGTTCCATGGGCTTGAGCCAATCATCATTAGCCGATATTGCTTTGGACCGTTACTTGTCTTTCTGGTGGAAATTCAGCTTAGCTCCATCACAGGCGACTGCAAGTTTGTCATGTTTTCCTCGTGGTGTGCTGTGAGTCTTTGTTTTGGGATGCGTTACTTAGTCCCTACAATCAGGTTGAATGCGGGCCGGGATCAGACAATTGCTTTGTGCCTTTGCACCACCCGCACGAAGTCAAATCAAAACAGAATAAAGCATGCACATTGCCACCAATGCTGCGTGCGAGTTTGCATTGGGGTGGTCAGTCTTTGGCTGCGTGGGAGCCCCCGAACCCGCTTTTCTTTGTTTGTGTTGAAAGACCATCCCAGAGGTGGACCTCACGGCAAGTCCAGGTGATGACTGACGACTCTATATAGATGTGGGGACTGCCCATACTTGTTACAGATGCTCATTACGTTGGCTCATTTTGTGCACCATAATCAACGTGCGGACGACAAAGGGGTGCTTGCTGCTTTCCTGCCGTTGCCAATGTTATGAGATGAGCTTCACAATAGATTGTTTAACGTCATATGGGTGTGGGTCAACAAGAAATCAGGGGACGGCAGGTTTTAGTATTTGTTTCCATTTACCAGGGTTCCATTTTGGGTACCTAGGTTTGACCCACACCCATATGTTGGGATGCCCAGATGCCATTTGCAACTCCGTCGAAAAAGTCGAAACACCGCTGATGACCTACGCCCGAGGACTTTTATGCCGTGATGAATGAGGGCAGAGCGGGGGCCTCAGGATGGTACCCAATGAACCCAAAGCGCCGAGTGTTGGGGGGGGGGGGCAGTTTCAGAGATCCTTTGTGTTTCGGGAAACGCGTGTTTCATACGCCAGATTGCGCCAGTTTATTTCATCCGATCACTTCTGGGTCAATTTTACAAAAAGGGTTCAGTGAAGCAGCAAAGGGATCGGGTTTTCGGTGCCTGTTCACGACACCAAACTTCGGGAAGTATTTGGCTGGTCCAGACTGTGGCAAGTTGATTTGCAATTTGCGGATGATCTAAGCTTAATGAATCTGAGGTTTGCAGCCCCTGCGCGTTGAAACAGCTCCTGAACTTGAAACTTGTGTGGTGTCAACTTTGTTCCACCGGACGAGGAGTGACACTGGCATCTCTGATTATTGCCCTATTCCTGGCGTTTTGGAAGGCACTCTTTGAGCAGCTAAGAAGGGCCTTTTTGTGGGTTTTAGCTTTGCAGAACTGCTTTGCTTCCATGATCAGGTTTCTCGGAGAGCAGAAACTGTCCAAGTAGGTGCGCCTGTTTGTTTTGCGAATGACCTGGATAGAAGAGGCAGTGGCGCACCTCAACCGTGTTGCTAGACTTACCACTTGCTTGGTCAGAAGCCAGGCAAACAAACACCGGAGACTTGGAACGGACTTCAGACTTTGCATGGCTTGCTAACATTGATTTTCTCCAGGTCACATCTGCGGAGAGAGAGATGTTTGATCTGGCACGGAGCTTGTTGAAGCCACAACTAACCAACGCACAATCCCTAAGAAGAGATATGTCCACTACGATCGACATTCGTCAGCGTGCGTCCCTGAGTTGTCGGGCGAAAATCGTGAATTTCAGATAGCTGCTTTGAGTTGAAAGGGCTTGGCACCTTGCCGACATGGATGCAGGCTCTTTGATGGGTGTGTGCGTGTTGCTCTTGCCATTATGGTTTTGAGGACCTGGCAAAATTGACAGATTGACACGCAGGTGTACAATTTTGCTTCGGGGAACACCCAGGAGAGCAACGCTAAAAACGCAGAACCCACGCTACCTTCGCAGAACCCCCTCAATGGTTGCGCAGTATTCTCCGCCGCTTATTTCAGCTTGCCGCCAACCCCTAGGCCATTCGTGCTAGCCGCTACTGGCTGCAAAGAGAAGTTGGTGGCACCTTCCATCTCCCCGTGAAGTAAGCGTAAAAGCGCCTCCCGATTTCTTTGGTGCATGTGTCCTGGTCATGTTTCTGTCATTGAGAGCCAACGGCCAGTCACCCAGCTGCCAGGTGCCAGCGCATGATGTGCTTCTCACCAACCCGCCCTACAGTGGTGACCACGTGGAGCATTTGCTGCGATTCTGCCGCCCCTCAGGCAAAATCATTTGGCTCCTGGCCGCCCCCAAGCTCAGGATTGGCAAGACCCCACAGGCTGTCGATGTTGGGGAGAGTTGGTAGTGGTGACCTGCTGAGCTGTGTGTCGCCACACGCATTCATACGATTTCACACGCCCACAGTAAGCAAACGGAAACACAACCAAAAGTATATCTATAGAACAAACAAGAAAAGCTGGAGCCATCGAGATAATCGAAATGGAAGCAAGCTTCAGGGTAGCGTCTTGGCTTGGACTCAACACATTTCGAGCGAGAAGAGTTTGCTACTCCGAAGGCATTGCGAAGTCTGGGTCGAATATATCGGGATGTGTAGTTTTGCTAGGACGACGGATATCCGTTTTGTATCGATACATGAGGAAACCGTGCAATAATCAGCATGGAGCATGGCCCAATGGCATCATGTAGCTTGAGGCTATGGGTCGAGATGTTGCTGACGGATGTGATATACAGAGTACCGTATCTGGATTTTGATATGCTGCATGAAAACGGAAAATTTCAGCGGCAGCATCCCCTGGCATTTGGAGGCTTCCGTGCCTATGTGAACAAAGTCAATGACGGTAAACGTGGCGACAGTGCGATTAATATGGGTATGTGTAAAAATGGGGGGGGGGGTCCGCCCAAGCCCTCGAAAGAGCCCGCCCCCGTATCCAACCAGTATGCTGCAAATGCGTTTTTCTTCTTGCGAGCTGGTGCTTCTCGCGGAGCTGACTGAGAGATGGATATCCGCGAAGCTCGTTGGAGACCAAAAACATAGCCCAGGCGAGAATGAGAAGCCCTTCCTCTTGCTGATGCCCAACTACTTCTGCGCCAAGGACCGATGCGACAGACTGGTTCGGGACTGCAAATGCTCGGGGGGGGGGGGGGGTCTCTTTTCAATTCTGGGGGTGCCTAGTTTTGGCAGGCTTTGATTGAACATGCGCAACATCTGCGCAGCCAATACGATCTTTTTTGGAGGTCCGCTCACATCACAAGATTGGTGACACTCTCATAGCATCACGCGTCGGTTCTGGGAGCAATGATTATTGGCTGTGGCTCGCTGTTGAGGTCAATTAGTATGGTTTTGCCACCAACATTTGCCAGAGGATTTCACTGGATAGCTCCTGCCATCTGATTCCTGAACCCTCCAAAAGTACTGAAATTTCCGTACATGCAGAAAAAAAGTGTCAATGTACACTTTTGAGGAAATTTGACGGAAATCGCTTTTAGCAGGCTGTGAGTGTTTGTGGTGCACTTGGATGCACATGAACACAGTTTGCAATTTACACGGCCCGTCATACTTAATTCCGTTTCAGGTCTTTCGTCTCCAATTGCCGTGGGGCAATGTGTGACAGCTTCCTTGCCGCTTTTGCGAGTTTGCACTTTTCTCAGCCAAAATGCAGAAACCGCAAATGCACGGAAATCGGCGGGAAATGCACGGAAATCGGCGGGAAAAGTACGGAAATCTGCGGAAAATACACGGAAATCTGCGGAACATTTTCTTGAGGAAATGGGCACCTTTTGTCCTTGGTGAATTGCACACCTTCAAATGGTATGAACATGACAATCTCCAGTGCCATGGCCGGAGCTGAAAGTGAGGTTCTTGTAGAAAAAAGGTAGCAAAATCCTCCTGTGTCTTATGTTGAGCCTGCAAGAAAAGTACAGTTTTTGCTCAAATGTATGGATTTCAAGGAAATGCACGGATTTTAGCAGAGAGTCGCAAAAAAAGTGCCCTTGGTTGGTCCAGGTTTTTAATTTGCTTCAGGAACCGCGGTGTTCAAGACTACTAATTAATTACCTTTTCAAGTTGTAATCGGAATCGTTGCATGCATTTGATTGTTCTTGCCGATGACTGAATGCGAGTCATAGGTTGGCATGTTCTAGTTTCGTGCGTTCCTACAAAACACACACGCACACACATCCTGCTTTCAGTGCCCGAGATGCTTTGTTCAGACTTGCGTACCAGTATAGAAGCGCACTGCTGGCAGACATTGCCAGCTGTAACCATCAAGAAGAACCACAGATGGTGTACAGCTTTAGCATGGAACAGAAGCCCGGAGATTCCAATCATGCCAGGCAAGACATGGCACTGGTAAAGCCCTTTTGGGCCAGCTTGGCCACCCAAAGCCTGGCAGAGAGACTTTAACGCAACTGCAACTTTTGGAAGCGGCCTTTGCCACCTTCGAACCCTTGCATCCGTTGCGCAGGAGTTTTATGCGGAGGCGGGCACGAAGTCAATGCTGTACCTTTGCCCCCGCCGCTGGGTCTGGATCCATTTCTCGCGATGGGTTCAATGCGGGTGCTCAATTTCGTGGTGTTCTTGTCGCGGCAATAAGGGAGCCCCGCAAAAGAAAAACGTCTATGTACTGCTTTTGGGGTCCAGGTATGTCCAACCAGGAAGCGCAAGGCAAATGCTCAGTGGTGTTTCATGATTTGGACAGGGGCTCAAACGTTGGAGCCGCGATCGAAACTTGACACCGACAACTTTCTTTGGGGGATGGTTGCGGGAAGGCGGCGTTCAGAAGTAACTGGTGGCACTCGTTCCCACGCTCCGGCTACCAATTTGTTGGGCTTTGAGCCTAGGGATGTGACTTTTCATGTCGCCGGCACTCTTCCCCCTTCAAAGCAGGGCCAAGAGAGGAAACGTCAGGCCAGTTTGAGGGCGCAACTTAGTACTTTGTTGTTGGCGGTTCGATTCACGAGACAGTCCATGTCGGTCATCTCCGTCCCGTGCAACACATGGCCCCGAGGGCCCTTGTGAGGTAAGGGGCAATTAAGAGAACTCTTACTTAGCCAGACAGTACAAATCCTCACTTGCAAGTGGACCTGTGTCTAGTACCAAGGAGATCTAGCCAGGAGCTTAAACACGTGGCATCAGAGGGACCTGCCGCACTCTCAATGACATACAAATAGGAAGAACACATTCTTGCTTCTTGCAGTTTTGTTTTTTCTGCTTATTTGCTTGTTTAGGCGGAAATCCCAGAACATGCGCGGAAGTGCACCTTATTCTATGCTTGCATGTTTCCTCCGGCCCTGGTGGAAAAGTGTTGCGAATGATGGGCCATCACGCGCAACCTTGTGGAAATCTGATGGAAACACCTGGAAGTCTACGGGAGATATGCGGACATTTGCAGAACCACCGAGCCTTTGTTCTGCTTGTTTCGGAAGCATCTTTGAAGTTGTTCCTCTGGAGCATCCAGGAATACCCGTGCTAGCATGCTTGCTTCTGCCCAGTGTTGAGCTTGCCAAACCCCCTCTAGATGCAGAGAATCAGCCAGCTGTGCTCGGGCGCAGGGCTTGAAAACAAATGGAGGCTTGCTGTAGAGTTGGATGATTTGGCAGATGGCACAATCCGTTCATGTTGGCAGAAGGGGGTCCCCTCCCACACAAAGGGAATTGTACCATCTACCTGGTTTACCTCATGAACAATCGTGCGTGATGCGACTCTACCAGTTACACTAGCGTAACCATCGTTATTTGTCAAAGCGATGAGCTTGTATGAACACGAGTTATCCCGCATTTTGCATACACAAATATGCATTTGTCGAGCAAGCACCGGCTACAGGATTGTCTCAAATGACCACCTTGAAATCGTGTAAAGGTTCTTCTTCGCAGGTCCTCCAGCTCAATATCTTGGTCTGTCTGACAAGAAGAAGCTTCGTAGCTAGTGTAAGGGACAGTGACACGTCAGACACGTTTGCTGTTTGGATCCCGTTTTGAGGCATGTTCAATTGCCGTTCCTTGGAAGAGAGTGTCGAGGTTTCTATTTTTTCCACGCTGGTCTTGCGTTCGACCCGAGGCAAGCGCTACTTCTACTGGACTCCTAAGGGCTTGCGGGACAGGGGGAAGGTGCAGTCACAGCACGCCGGCTCCGCAGGCAGACTTCGGGAGAGACTGTTGAGAAACCTCGACCTCTGGACAATCAATTGTTCAATGCTTGGGCACTTTGGGTTGCTTTTGTGTGCTTACTTGTTTTACATTGTGCAAAGATTCGCAGAGATTGTTAGGGGAATCTCCCACTAGCTTGCTTGCTTCAGTGAAAGAAACAACGACCTGCATAGCGGAAACAAGCAACACATTGCACGCACTTCGCCCGGTCGGAAGGGCTGAGGAGGGTTGTTTGCTATCGCAGCAAAGCTGGGTCACAAACCTACTGTCGAAATTACTATCTCGGTGGCACGTTGTGTTTCCTTGCGTATCTTAAGTCAGCTTGCCAAAACATATTTCAAGGCGCCTTCTTGCATGTCTCTTTTCGCCGCCAAAGTGATCAAATCACAGCCAGGAATATCTGTGCCTGACGGTGGCCAAACCTCAGCGGAGATCATGGAATGTTTCGGGTAAGGTGTGTGAGACAGCACAGCGACATCAGTTGCCAAAGCTACGCAGGTGCTTTCTTTTGTCAGAAGCGAACCACCTCAGAATTTGGGTTTTCCCTTTGGTTTCCCTGTAAAGCAAAAACCACAAGGGGGGTTCTTTAAAGAAAGACATGGAGCAAGATGGCTGATGGCGAGGCAACCGAACCTCGCCCTTTGTGAGTTTCTGGTACCTGGACCTCAAGCCGGTCTGCAGCTCCAAGGACCTGCTGCGCTGGTGGCAGGACCAACTTGCCGATCGTCGGTGGATCCATTTGGCTGCGGCTCAAGCCTGGTAAGAGGAAGCATGGACCAAAACCTGCGTAACCCCTCCTTTTTAATTTTTGAGCCACGCCCATTTGCCTGGTGTTGTGGGTAACCGAGGGAACCACCCTTTAAGAAAGCCAGGAAAATCAACATCTGTGCCGAAAGTCCGTGAGCTTCATCCAAAGGTTCATTTCGTCAGGGCCAGGGGCTGAAGTGATAAACAAAGCGGATCAACCATTGAACAACCCAGCCCCGTTTTTTTCTTTTAGTAGCTAACCAGTAACCCGGCCGTTTGCGTGGAGTTCCTACGAGCTACGGTCGGTGTTTTGGTCAAACCCCTGCAGCTGGGTGGCAATGGAAAAGCATTCCGGCGCGCGAAACAAGCTCCTGTGGCTAAGGGCTGGATGTGCTTGTCTGGGCCCAGCAAGTTGTGTGTACATGGCTCGGGAAGTTGGGTAGGGCATTGCTCACAGTAGCTCCCAGCCCTTGTTTGTTCGTTTGTTAGTCTGTTTGGTTGTTGGATTGTTTGGTTGCTTGTTTGTTTGTATGCTTGCTTCCTTCCTTCCTTGCTGGCTCGCTTGCTTCCTTGCTTGCTTGCTTGCTTGCTTGCTTGCTTGCTTGCGTGCTTGCTAACTCGCTTGCTTGCTTGTGTGCGAGTTTGTTTGTGTGGCAGCCAAAGCAAGGTTTTCGCAGTTTGTTACTGATAAACGTCACCTTTGCATAGTCGGTGGCTCGACTTGTCACAAGTAAACGGGCAATGTGTGCGGATTGCTATGCTCCCATATATGGAACGCGCTATGTTCAAACCTGTTAAACTAACGGCCATCAGGTCTGCTGGGCCTGCCATAGCTAAAGGACAGATGCCGTCGCTACTTGTTTGTGCATTCCGAGGACATAACCCCGCCGTGTGCGCACCACTTGCGTATGTATGCACTTACTGTTTTATGGGTATGTTTCCCACAAGTGTCCTTTCTATATGGCGGATTTGATTTTCTGTAACAACCTATGGCAATGCATTCTCTGGGGTGGGAGCGATGGGCGGAAGTCGGATGCGGCTGAAGCCTTCACCACCGCCAACACCACCACCATCACCACCACCACCACCACCAGCAGCAGCAGCAGCAGCACCACCAGCACCAGCACCAGCACCAGCACCACCACCACCACCAGCAGCAGCAGCAGCAGCAGCACCACCACCACCACCACCACCACCACCACCACCACCACCACCACCCGCACCACCACCACTGACAACAACTTACAACCAAAGAAGGAAGCTGGAGTTAGCATCAAGCCTAGCCAGACCTGCCAGGCAAGGTCATCCCGCCTGAGCTGTACGCTTTGTACCTTGGCCCAAACCTTGTGCCTTCTGCTGTGGAGCCTTGGACGGATGCATGCTGCGCCATTGAGAGGCGCGCTTGTACACCCCGCGATTTCCAAACGTGGATTGTTTGTCATCTTGAACTTCCTGTGGCAATTTGGTTGCAAGAAGCACGGATGAAGCAATGTATATACATTGCATTACACATATGTATACATCTACATGTGCAACAGTTGTGTCGTGGGGGTTCCATGACTTTGTGCTTCCACTTGGGCAAGGTAGAGCTTCTGTTTGCAGATCATTGGGTTCGGAATGGCTCGATGCTGCAAAACAAAGGGTTGCCACTAACGATCCAAACGGTGCACAACTGAGCTTGACTGCAAATCCCTTCTTCACCGCTTCACCGCTGGGCGTTTTCCTGAGATGGCCCCTGCTTTTTCATGTCTTTTTCCTAGCTTTATGAGAGTATGACCCACCAGACCAATTCCGAGGCTGTAATTGACTAGATCCACAGGTCAGGTGAACTGGGGGCTGCTTGGTTGAAGAAACGGGTAGACATCCTTGCATGCGCCGAGGAACATGCACTGTATCTCTCTATTCTAGATGCAGGCGGTTGGATAATGTAGATAAAATGTGGTGTTGTATCCTGAATATGTTTGCCACACGGTTCTCCTGGTGTCTTTCATTAATGCCCTGCCCACTTGCCCCCTCACCCAAGCCGTCTCGATGCTGTCAGGCAGGCTGAAAGACTTGCCAGCAGCGTGCAAGCCCTGAGACCAAAAAGCACGGCGGCTCCTGCTGTTCAATGGACGGGTGCGCGAGTTGGCCCTTAAGTTCCGACGGGATACTCATTCCATCAAAGTTGCTTGAAGGTTTCTGGTAGGATGCCCCGACTAATTGCAAGTCAAGGGTTGATCTCGACGTTCCATGGTAAGGCATGTTGTTGCAGATCGGTGTTTTCTTTGCCGACGAGTTGCGTGAATTGCCTTCACCGCACGCAGACAGCAATCCCAGTGGAAGAGCAATAGGCTTCTGTCAAAATCCATGAAAGATGTCAGCAGGGAAACAGTTGCATAGCGGTTGCCTTGGATCAATTTGAAACTTGCTTTGGATTCCTATCAACCACCGATGGTGTGAAGACACTTGTGTGTCACGAATCATTGTTCCTCGGGATATGGCCCTGGCACCTGGTGTTGTGTTTTCCTCTTCGACTGTGACAATCCGTTCGTTTACGCAGCATGTGCACATGTGGGATCACACGAACAGGGGAAATGAAAAGGGATGGAAGCACTACCTCGTTTCTGGCCACTACCGCCCAAACAAACAGTGCTCCTGCCAGGTGTTGTTTTGCACATGTCTTATCGGAAATCTCGTTGTGTGTGTGTTCTTTTCAGACATCAGTTCACATGGCCCTCCTTTGTTTATCACGAGGATCGAAGAAAATTGGAATGCGTTGGAGATCACTTGCAACCTTATCATCAGCAGACGGCAATGACCTCGACGCCATGGGGGTGCCATATGGTAAATCCAGTGAGTTGGGAGAACGAAGTATAGCAGGCACGCAAGGGGATGGGCATGTCAATTTTCAAAATGGTAGGTTTCCTCTTGGCTTCCCTTGAAAACCACACACATGTGTACCCTCAACGAAAGACACCCGTATGGTTCTCCAGCTTTATCCGAAGGTGGCGGTACGTGCCTTTTCGGTTTGAGCATCCGAGGGACATGGCGGAATACCTCGGCGACGACGATGACACAAAGCGTCAGGCATGGTTTCGTATCGCTCGCGTTGGAACCACATAGATTGGTTGACGTCAAAACTGCAAAGACCAAACACACATTTGGGGGTCTCCATTTGTGTTGTTTTTTAGAGTGAGCCTTTCCGAGGTTTGACACGAGTTAAACTTTGGACTTGTGTTGTTTTTAGAACAAAAACAGTTGGAGCAATTATCCAATGCACCGGAGCTGGGCCTCAGCTCTTGGGATGCCAAGAGACCTTCAGCCAGTCTAGGCACGGCCGAACCTGTGAATGGGTCTGTCTTGGACCTGGGAATGGTTTGAAGGGACCAAGAGTGATAGGTGCAAGTGCCAGCCTGACACGGGTTCAGGCACTGGTGGGGGCGACAACCCCTATGTAGGGACCAAGAGGAAGCCCGTTCTTAGAGGTCCCCTGGTTTGCGGAGTATGGCAGCGTATGCACCGTGTCTGTGGCTATGAGTTGCTGTGGCTGTGTGTCTTTGTGCCTGCTGTGTCTGTGTGTGTGTGTGTGTGTCTCTGTGTGTCTTCAAGTGTGTGTCTCTTTGAGTGTGTGTGTGTGTTTGTGTGTTTGTGTGTTTGTGTGATTGTTTGTGTGTGCGTCTGTTTTGTTTTTGTGTGTGTGTGTGTCTCTGTGTGTTTGTGTCTCTGTCTCTCTGTGTCCGTGTGTCCGTGTGTCTGTGTGTTGGTGTGCCTGTGTGCTTGTGTGCTGTGTGTGCGTGTGCGAGTGCATGTGGGCGTTTGTTTGCGTGTGGGTGTGTGTATGTGTGTGTGTTTGTGTTTGTTTGTCAGTCTGTCAGTCTGTCTGTCTGTCTGTCTGTCTTTCTGTATGTCTGTCAGTCAGTCTGTCAGTCTGTCAGTCTGTCTGTCTGTCTGTCTGTCTGTCTGTCTGTCTGTCTGTCTGTCTGTATGTTCGTCTCTCTGTCTGTGCGTGTGTGTCTGTGTCTGCGTGTCAGTCTCTGTGTCTGTGTCTGTGTTTGTGGGTGTGTGTATGTGTGACTGTGTGTCTGTGTGCGTTTGTACGTGCGAGGGCGGGCGGCCGGGGGGAGGCGGCGGCGGCGGGGGTGGGGAGCGGCCTGTGCCGTAGGTCGTCGCAGCAGGGTACCCGGTGAGCATTCTGAGGCGCGCGGTGCGAATCCATGCATACACGACCCGGCAGGTGTGAGCAGGGCAAGTTTCTTGTTGAATGTGCTCCATGTCGGGCAGGCATTCGGCAGGACTGCATTTGCGAGCTTTGCATCACACCGGTCTCTTATCGCGATGCCATTGTGAGTTCGTACTTGGGGAACAAGTCCAATTTGAATATTGGGAGGCAGTTCCCACCGAGGAATGATAGCTGTTTGCGCAAGACGATTCAAGGTGTCTTGCCGTCGTTTGCATCGCCACGCAGCCGCAGGTCATTTTCACAAGCAAGCGAGGCCTGTGTCCACTTACTCGCGGATGCCCGAAATCCGCAACTTCCCAACAAACTTGAGAGTCCCTATATTTTCCGCTGCGTTTGGGCAAATTTACAGTGAGATTTCTTTTGGTGGGGTACTTTCCAGGGGAACATGCAGGGAGCCCAACGGGCATCAGGCCTTCCCGCCTGGAGGAAACTGTTGCTGCAGCTGCGGCGGAGGCCAGAAGGGAAACGTGCAGCTTGCGGGCTAATTGTTGGGTGGCTCGTTGTTTTTTGGGTAATTGCATTGACATTGTTTGTGATTTTAAAGGCAAACCAAAAGGAAACCTGAAGCGATTTGGGCCACCTTAAAAAGTCACACCCGCTTGTTCAGGATAGTCGCAGGCTGGAGGAAAGTATGAACGCGTTCCTGCGAACAGTGTCGTCCGTGCTTCCTTGAAGTGGATGGCGAAATGGACCCAGTGTCGAACATCCAAGGCGGAATTATGCGGAATTCATGGTATGTCTCCAAAATGGGGGGGGGCAAAAATGAGTGGTTTGTCTTTGGCGTCTCTTTCAAC